GACGATTACCTGAATGTACACATGCAATTCCTGTTTCTGTGTTGAAGGAGCCAAAAGCAAACCCAACTTATTTTCTGATTATTAGCATTAACCAGAAAAAAAATATTTATGAAAAGAGCAGATCTGAAATAACTGCAAAAATAGACTTAGATTAACAGCAAAGACATTAGGATCCACACATCACTTTCAGAAAGTCACATTTCAGAGAAAAGAGAAATATCCAACATCTTTCCACAGCATTCCTTAAAACATCAGTTGAATGCAGAGAAAACCTTGAAGTTTTCTACTAGTGAAAACTATCATGTTTTTTTCCCAGCACAGGAGCAACACCAAAGCTACCATACACATTATAATCTTGTAGACAGCCAAGCCCAGCTGAGAGTTATTGCTCCCTGCTCTGCCCTGACTTGCTCCTCTGGGTTTCCCTACTGAGCTGGGTTATCATCACCCTCCTTTCAGATCTGCCAGAAGTATTGCTTGTGGGACCACTCCCTAAAGCACAATGCAGAACGGACCGGGTTATCAAAGTCTTGCCTTTCCATCTATTAGAAATAATCCACCTCATTCTGACACGTGACTGATGAAGTACTCTATCTAGAAGAACATCTGCCCACGATCTTCTTTAGGATGCTTTACACAATGGAAAATCAGCCTCTACCTATGTCATTCCCAACCTTTCTCGTGGAACTATATTTTACAAGAGAAAAATAAATGAGCCACCACAAGGGCAGCAGAGTATTACAGAGATGCCATTTTCCCAAAGAGGGCAGCTGCAGAACAGAAAATCTTAGGAAGCTGCTGAGTTTATGTATGATCTGCTTATTTAAGGCAAATTATCAGCAGAAAAGGAGGCAATATCCCAAGGCAACTGAAAGGAAATCAAGTGTATCAAAGCTATTTCGGAACTCCCATTACCTACACACTTGGCAATGCAGACATTCAGTGTTATACCACACTGCTCATTTTTAGTCTCCTGATGCAAGGGGAAAGGGAAGAAAAGACTCCCTCCCGTCTTACCCTCTCTCCCCCCTTTCTACCAAAATATCTTAAAAACAGATCTGCATTGTTACTAATGTTAGTACTATATATATTTATAGATGAGATATTCCTTTCTGTCTGAAGCGCATGAGGTAATAAGTAGCTGGAATTGTCACGGTGATTTATTAACATATTCTCTAGGAGAAGCCCTGCACCTGCGTCTGTGCAGATGGAACACCCACGAAGACTGAACTCACCCTTACACAGCCCACAATATCTTAAAAGGAAATGCTCCAAATTTAGACCTGCTCCAACAGGTGTCTTTTACTGTCTCGCTTTGCACGACCATAAATATCAGAGGTGGAGCAAAAAGTTCCCGTCCATTGTAATCGTGCTTTGAAAACAAATACTTTTGCCCCGTCTCCATCTGAAAACAAAAAAGGCAGCTATGGAATTCTCATCATTTCCTCACTCCTTCATTCTGCCAAGCCCTAAGTCAGAGATGTCACCGGCAACACCGGGCTCCAGGGATGAGCACATAGCTTTCTTTTTTCCTCTTCAAAGAGCCCTCAACTGGCTCTGAAATCTCCCCATACTGTATTTCTTTCACTCCCATCTTGCAGCTATTTGCCTGAGTGAATGACATGCACAGGCTGTTCAGGGCTTTTTATAAGCTCTCATTACCCAAACAGGAACCATTTCCTTAGGAAAGCCTTCCCCAGCAGCATTAGTCTCTCTAGGTACTATCAATAAACGTGCCTCTCAGCCCATCCTAATGGACACTATTATGAGCCTGAATGGACATATCTGATGCTGCTATGCACTTGTATACTACAGGAAGGATGCTACCTGTAGGACCTGTCATCAAGATGATGATAAGAATGGAGAAAAAAAATAAGTAAATGATGAACAGAAAGCTTCTGCCAAATTTTCTCTGACAATCAAAGGAGAAAAATCAAACCTCCTTTCTCTGCAGTAACAGTAAGAATCATTTCTCAAAACCAAAGCTGCTATCCACAACTCAAAAAAAAAAAAAAAAAAACAAACCAAATAAACAAACAAAAAACACAACAAACGAAACCAAAGCAACAAATCCTGAAAAGAAATTCTAATCAAATTGAGAAACGGAGTTACACATTACACCCTGAACTCAGAAATCCTATTGTTTCCTTCCGTAGCACTTTTTATTATTACAAGAACGCCCAAGTCAAGAGCAAATAAATATTTAATACTCAACAGGTACTCAAGAGAATGTGTATTTTCCCCTGTCCCTCCTCACCAGCTGCTCTTTTATGGCAGGAAAGTGAAGAGCGTGAAATCCAATGATAGGAAGAAGGCAAAGGTCAGGAAAAAGGTTTTTCTTCAAGGATTTAAATTAGTGTTCTACAGCTTTGGATGTTTTGTCAACAGGACTTCCCTCCTGTGAGAAGGGGAAGCCAAAGGTCCTTTGAACCACTTCTGTACGGGATCTAGAATTTTACCAGTAACAAGAGTCTTAGCTTTAAAGAAAATCTCATCCTCTCTCTTCCCAGTCCTTCCACCACTCCTCTCCCTGCTCCTTAAAAGCAAGGAGGGGTGGAAGAGAAAAAAAAAAACAAAATAAAAAGGATCTGAAAAGCAAACCAAGCACTGAAGGAGTTCTAGAGTTCATGTAACAAGACCACCATAACCCTTCAAAGAAACCATTAAAAGCAAAACAAACAAAAGCAATACCCTCAAGATGTCTATTGTATTTTACAGAGCACTGAATTGAGTGCACTGGAAATTCTCCCATCTTCCAACAACGTCTGTTATTTCATTAAAACAAAGTCCAGAGATCAAGAAACGGCCAACATGGTAGCTGAAAGTCAGTCACATCAAGTGATCCATGAAGACAAACGAGATTGGGCTTGCTCTTTTTTTTTTTTTTCTCCTTGCTTTACTATGATGTTTAAAAAAAGACTTCAAAGATAGTTTTAAGCATTGCTTTTGTTTCTCACATGAGAAAGCCAGACCTTGAGCAGGTCTAGACAACACGGTGGTTAAAACTTCATTATCTGCCAACACTTTGTCTTCCTAGAGCTCCCACAGTTGTTGCTACCCTGGAATTGCCTCACTAGAAAATATCTGAGGATATCCATATAGTATTTTTCTTCCCTTAGAACTTCTCCAAGATGGCAGCTGTAAAACAGAGCACATGCTAGCACCCACAGCACAGCACAGCATCCACAACAGGCAGTTTCAGAGGGCAGCAACATCAGAGGCTCTGCCAAGTAGGTCCTGGGCCAAGGCTTTCAAACTACCAGGTTGCTGAAGATGTTATCCTTTGAATCCTAACACAAAATCAAGGTCTTGGCTAATTCTATACTTCTCCTGAGAATTTTCACAGTATGTGCCTATATTTTATTTTTAACTTTTTTCTAAACTTACCACATCTTCTCTCTTTGTGCCTCTGGACTATCATCTGTGAGTTTCACCTGGAGGATGGTTAACACTTTGCATTATATTTACATATGCACAGCTATCAAAGCTAACTAAGACAGAGATACAGATTTTATCACATCCACTTATCATCAACATTACATTTACCAGACCCCAAACTGCCACACTGAAGAAGGTCTGCTGAAAACAATGCAACTGAACAGGTGTTCCTGAAGGCAAAGTTTGGCTTGCAGGATAAAGCCTGATTAATTTAGCTATAGGGTAACAGGAATGAAAAACCTCTGCTGAGATGAACCTGTAAAATCAGAGGTCAGCTAAGCTCACATGTGTTACAGCAATTTCTGGGTTGCTGTACTACAGGCACCCGCTACTGCTAGAAAGCCATAAAGAAAAGCCTAAGTAGATAAAACATTCCTCCCTAGCTCAGAATAGACCCATGAGTGTTTGTTTATTCAAAACCACAGAATGCAACAGTGTTGAATTTCCTGCACTGTGCAGATAACTGCCATGTATGAACAGAACACACACCTGCAGCTCAATCCTTGTCATGTCCAAGAAAAAAAATAGGAGAGAGACAATGAGGAATCCTGGGACAGACTCTTTCCATCACAGCAGTTAACGTGGCTCAACTCTTGGCCACTGTCATCAAGGGTAATCCTTCAATTTTGGCAGAAGAGGAGTCATTTTTCCATGGACACATAGCATCCCCCTCGCATCTGGTAGCAGGATGTTAAAGGAAAGATTACACCTAGCAGTGAATTGTTAAAGCCCAAATATTTCACATGGCCTACAGCATACACCAGAGACATTTTCACAGAAGAGATTATCTGGGAGCAGACCCCAGATGTCTGTATCCTTGACTTACAAGGTCCACATGGATGAATTTTCAGCTCTTAGATGGCTGCCCTGCAGGTGTCTAATCTCAGAGGTGAAAGCCTGACTGTCAGCCTGGAACAGACTACAAAGGCTGGCCTCTGAAGGAGCCAGCAGAGCTTTCCACAGAAGATGTCAGACAGTATGCATCTTAGAGAACTAAAATTGCTGTATAGAAGAGTATAGAGAGCAACAAACCATCCTTCATTTTTCTAATAATGGATATGAATTATACTGCACAGGAACCTCAGCTAAATCTGACACATTTAATAAATTTATCCAAATCCTCAGTGCAATTTAATGCTGGATATAACACAGATTTTCTAATGAATCTTTTTAGGCCTGGAAATGCAGCTGAGGTTTTACGCCTTATATGCAGAAAGTGTTTCATGAAACCCTGAGAGCCTTTCTCAGATTCTCTGAGGTTACAAAGTTTCATTTATGGACTTAGGTCTATCACTCCTGAATATTAGAATCTAAATTGCATCTGAATTGTATCATAACATTGGACTCATTTCACAGAAAGTTGCTTTTCCATTCATACCACTTTCCCTGAAATTTTTCACAACCAAGGTATTGGACAAGCTTATTAACTGCTTGTAATGTTGTAACAAGTAATAAGGTATTGTTCACTCCCTATTCCAAAAGGTTGTCTTCCTCCTCCCATCTTAACCTTTCTTTAAGAGTGAAGTAGGAACATTCCAAGTTCTGTTTCTATTACAGCTTACTTCTGCAGGATGGATCTTTTAATGACAAGTTCTTCATCTAGGTCAGCTTCATTAGCCATGAAGAGCAATCTTTTTCCCGTGTCATCCACTCCAATGAAGTCCCGCTGCTCCACTGAAGTTAAAATAAACAAACAAACAAACAATTATTTAACCCTGTCTTAATGTACGCTGGAAAGACAAATGGATCACCAACCACCCTTGAAATATAAAACACTAGGTTTCAGATTGACCCAGTAAATCAGTGAATGCACAGTGAATGCACAATAAATGTTTAAAAATATATATATTATTATTATTCTCTACTTCTTTTCAGACAGGGTAGCTGATATACATCTATTATGACATTGGAAACACTTTCCTTTCTGCATCTTTTTTATGGAGATGCCAAATACAGGTCATGACATGCAACACTCTGTATTGAGCTATGAAGGAACTGTGCTTTCCTTCTCTTTCTCTCTTTAAATTGCTACCTGAATTTACACAGCAAGCCCACAGGAATCAGAGAGCTCTTCAAAATCCAACTTCTTCCTCCTCATCATAAATCACCCCACATGAGAATTAAATAGTCTGGAGAAGATTATGATTTCAGGTAAGATGTAACTACTTTGCAACTGATCTGCAACTTAAGATTTCTATTTCTGTCTGTATTTATCTGAAATCACACACACAGATATAAAGGTAGATTTTGAAACCTGTGTTTCCAAGAAGGTCTTCTGTTTATAAAACGGCCAAGCAAGAGACTACTGAATTGTTACCTGCACTACCAATTCCCATCAGCTGCCATCAGTGACAGCACATCAACAGTGATGTATTTTTGAATGGTTTTCTACAACTTCTGAATAACAGTGGTGGAGCTTACTCTCAACTGCACCTCACAGTACCTGCCTCAGCTGGCAGCACCCATATGCTGCTCTTTAAATCAATAGCAGAATGCCATGCAATAGTTCTAACAAAAACTCCTCCCTAAATACTATTATTTTGGGCCAAACTGGCAAACGCAAAAATCTCTAAAGTTCTAAGCCATTAACCACACACAAGTAACAGCTCTTTAAGTACTCAATTCTTTATGATCTTTTCTCAGCCAAACTGCATTTTAACTCCATTTTCCCCAGTTCAACCCTGTCCCTTGTTTTCTTATTTACTCCTTCAGAGTTACCATAGTAATAACCACTATCAAAATACAGTCAAATCGACACAGATGTTGAAAGCTGTCCTACTGGCAGCCTTTGATCCAAGTGATCAAGCAAGCCCTCTTCTCAGAAGTTAATCATAAAGCAAAGGAGTTCAAAAATAGGCCTGAACATGCAACACCAACAAATCAAGTACCATCAGGATAAAATTCATTTGATGCAGAACATGAGAAATAAGCTTTCAAAGCAGCCTTCATTTTAAGGAGAACAATGAAGTTAGAGAGTAAGGGTAGCAATGCTACAACAAGTGTTTAGCAACACTTGTAATTCAGAAAAGGCAACGTTTATTACTCAGATCTATTAGCTAGAGATAGAAGAGCCCTTCACACCAGCACTGCTCAGTAAGGAAAGACAAAGGGAAGAATGAATACATAACTAGCTCACTGAATCCCTGGGAGGGAAGAATGAGAAAAATGTTAAACCTGCAGTGACGTTAACTAAAAACATGGTTTAAAGTATTAAAAAAAAAGAATACAGGATGTGTTTTGCCTCTCCCTGGTAGTTAAATAAGGATTTGACACAGTATTGCAATTTGTTAATTACGCTAAAAATTAGATCCCATCAATTTTGAGGGCTTTAATGACCTAATGAAATCACAATATCACAAGAGAATAGAAGTAGAGTAATTCAGTAAAGAGCAGAAAGTTTTCAGTCTGGTTTTCTAAAGCGCTTTTTAATCACATAATTAATTGAGATTTGGGAAAAATACACCTTTGTTAAAGATTCAGAATCTCCACCCTTTCAATTAAGGGAAGAGAATTCACACGACGCAGCCTGCAAGACCACCAAGAGGTCTTCTGGCAAACAAAGAGAATACCAGTGATGACATGCCTGCTGCTTTCAAGACAAGAAAAACAAGCAGGAGAGTCACCATCCCCATCTCTTCTGCCTTGCTTTATACACAGGAAAGTTCACTCTCTTTTTCTCCCACCCCCCAAACCCTCCACGTCACCTTTAAGCACATGGCTCCATTCCAGGTGCAAGAACTCCTGACACATTTTGTTTATTTGGGTTAGTGCCATTCCCTAGCATTCTACTTTTTTTTTTTCATTCCTCTTATTAATCAATTTTAAAAGCCAATGAGACATTTATAATCAACAGATGATACTCTAAGTGTGCAGAAGCTAACAAACTTCTGCCTGTAATGTTCACCCAAATTACATCAAGCACTGCAGAAAACTATCAGCATGAATTTATGACTGATTAATACTGTGATTCCTGATAATTTAAAAACTGGTCTTTGTATCACACGTCTTCAATGTTTAATAATATCCTAAAAGCAAGGACTTTGCATCAGGTTCTATGAGACATGGTTCCTTCTCAAAAGTTTAATGAATTTGTAGGTAAAGAAACAGTAACTAAAGTCAGAAACATATTTAGTGGCTTGTCGGGACGAGGGGTCAATTTCCCAATAATAACACTTGACAATACGGGACAAGTACACAGAACTGTGTTTGTGCCATGAATCAGAGAAGAAGCGAAGAGTGCCACATCCTACAAAAGACTGCCTGCCATGTTCCATATAAATATCCAGCCTTCAGCTGCCTGTGAGCTTTCTCAAATGTTAATTGTTTGGTATGAAACTTCTAACATCAGGTGCCTGCCTCCAGAGCAGCAATTGGAAAGCTTCAGTGAAAACAGCTCATCTGCTTCTAATGTTAAAAAAAAAAAAAGTGGTTAACCTAAGCTTAAACAGTTGGGTGGCAATTGTCTTGAGAAGTTCTGGTATTCCAGCTCTTCAGGAAGAAATACAACATTCCTAAGTGCTGCTGATTTGTGTCTCAAGAGTGCACCTTCTACCATCTCACTCCACTATAAATCTTTGAAAAAAATGCAGTTTCACACACTTTTTCAAGTCTTCTATTTTTGCTGAAAAACAAAACAAAAAAAAAACCCATATACTTTATTCTTAAGGAAAAGCTGTTCTGAAGGCTCAGTTCCTAGACCTGATCAAATGCCAGGTGCCACCTAAGATCTTCTATACCACCAAGAGGCACAAGCAGGGCATACAAGCCACATGAGGCTCCACAGCCGTGCTTGATCTGTTTTGGTTTTACAACCTATTTATTTGGTATAGAAAAAAATAATAATGTAAAAAGCTCACAAGGGGGAGAAGAAAGAAAAGCATAGAAAAAGGGACTCTACAAATTAGACTGGAAGGAGGAGAAAGCAGTTCCTGAACACTAGTGGAGATAGGAACTGGGAAAGAACACCGTACCACAGAGACAGGAATAAAAAAAAAAGGGGGGGGAAAATGACCATGGGCAGATAAATGAAGCTGATGGGAGAAGTCAGAAGAGGAGTAAGGGGATGGGACTATTGGTGAAAGGAGATGTGAGTAAGGTATGAGAAAGAGAAGCTGGACTCTTGACAAGGATCCTGAAGGGCAAGACTAAGCAAAGAGACTGACTAGGACAAGCAGGGGAGGTAGGCAGTGGCAAGAAGCCAGCATGGACAGACAGGGATAAGCTAGGACAATATTGACAGCAACAGGATTCACTCAGTCAAATAAGAATGAAAGGCAGGAGGGTTCTGTACTCCCTAAAATATATTGTCCCTATCTAGAGACTAGAGAAGAAACCCAAATTCCCCCATCTCACCGCTCCCCTACTGCTAGAAAAAGACTGGAAAAGGCCTAGTAGGGTCTGTGTCTCATCTGAGGCAGTTCACACACAGAGAAAACAACTTACTAGTGTTATCCATGACAGCTCAAGTAGAGTAGCTGTGAGTGGGAGACCTTTACATCTAGCTCCCACAGATAAACACTGTGGGTGTTAAAATGCTTCCACATGATGGAATTTCAGTGTTTTCAAGTTCAGCCTTTTACAAGACCTGAGAAATCATACACAACATTTAACAGTAATGCAGGAGGAGTAATGCTACAAAGTCAAACACACAGACATGCAAAAATAAGCAAATTAAGAAAGCATGTGCGACTCAGTGTGTTTATACTTGCTAAGTCTTCAGAGGATTTTGTTTATCCTCATATACCTCATCGCCCCTGCCCTGCATGCTCAGCTTAGCTTCCTGGGCTAATGATGTTTAACCATAGATCCATACATTTATATCTTCTGAATATTCAGCTTCACAGTTGTAGTAATTCTCTTGACAATGTGTTATGTGCCATTATCACTATGACTGCCTTTAAAAGACCAGGGTGTTTAGAGCTGCGTAAGAGTCCAAGTCCAAAATATTCTCAGCCTTGTTATCCTTGTATTTTGCTCCAGAAAACCTTCGTCTAAGCAGCTTTCTTTTAAAAACACATTTCCTCCACTTTCAGACACACACGTAGTCCAACTGCTGGCTTGCGTTTCACTCCTCTCAAACAGTCTGAAGCTGTGCTTTCTTATTTGTATTACCGTAATGCCTCTGAGCTTTAATCACGGACCAGGGCCCACTAACCTGGCAATAATCAAGCTTCAGCAATTTAGCAGATATCATTAAAAGAAAATGAGAGGTACAGTATGGGAACAACCATATGGTATTTAGTACTTTTAGCACATAAGTAAAACAGGGATAATAACCCTGCCCTGCCTTACAGCACTGTTGTGAGAATAGATACATTAAAGATTACATGAGATATTATGGTAAGAGAGACCAGATAATGATCTAACCAAATCCTTGAAATCAGTGGGAGTTTTGCCTAGTGAAAGGCTCCTGGACGCGATCTCAGAATAATTTGCTACATACGACAAGAGTGGAGAATTTCTAGAAGTATTTGCTATCCATCTAACACACTGGTCCCAGCAGTCAATGGTAAAATTCCCAGCTACGATCTGACTGATGTAGAGTACTCCTAAAGAATGGGTTTTAATGTTCATATGTAGCAAAAATTTACGGTTTGATCCAAAACTCACTGAAGTCACCTGGAGCTTTTCCCTTAGCTCTTGTGAGCTTTGGACCATAGCCTGCACGATTACACGAGTGTAATACTTAATTCTGAGCTGGAAAAAAATAAGTCACACTCCCACCAGGGAATCTGAGGAAAAACATGGTATCTGTACCTTTTTCTTTCTTTCACTTTCTTGTTGATAATTATACATCTATGATATGTATATATGTATCAAAAGACAGTGGTCTCACTATTATTACTCTATATACTCTTATCTACATACCGGGTTTTTTTTTCCCTTTCTGTCCTGGTGCCACTTCTGTGGGTTCGTGAGCTTTCTTCATCAACATGGAGAGAGTAGCATCATGTGTCCGAAACAGATCCACAACTTTATATAAATCGACATCTGTGATCAGATCGCAGCTCAACACCAAAACGTCAGTCTGCCAAGGAAGAAAAAAAAGAAAACCCCTCAGAAATACAAATGACCACATATTAGCATTTGATGACTTGGCTCCAGGTTGTGGAGAATGTGATTGTGAGAATTGCCATCATCAGCCCCTAGCAGGAGAAACTGGGAAACAGTGCCTACGGATTTCAAGACTGCCATGAAAATCTGCTGCCTTTACGATCACTACTTCCAGTTGCATAATGATGTAGAAAAGAAAGCTTCCTGAAGAACTCTTTTTAGCTGACTTTGCATCTGGCTACAAATCACTGGAAAAGATATTTAAACTATGTTATTTTATCAGGAAAAAAAAATCAAAGACTATCTAGGATGTGATTTACTCGGTAATTGCAGTGTGATGGTGGGCTCAGTTTAGAAACACATTTCCTAAAAGCAGCAATATCCCATATAAAAAAAAACAAGGAAGCTTGGTTCTATTTAATAACAGGCTCATATTTAATTTTGATCTCAAAGGATTCCAAAGTGCCTTACAAAGTAATTAAGGGAAGTGCTGCACATATCACAGAAATGCAGTCACACAGTAGTGAGACATATCAGCTTCATTAACCATGCAGGCTGTCAAGGCACTCTGGCTAAAATCCCTCACTTCAAAAAAATTTTCTGCATTTCCCATGGGCTGCAGAACATGCTGCCAAAAATCTACCAGTTTGGCAATTATCTTCATTTAAATTAATCCTAATACAACATCTCAGCAGTACGACCTACAAATAACTAGCAAGTTTCTGCTTTATCTTTTGTTAATAAATAACCTTTTTTGTTAATGACAGTGTTTCTTTCTTGACATTACTGTTTTCACTTTGAGTGCTACCATTCACTATGGTAAGCCTCCTTACAAAGGAGAACATGGCTTCCTAGTTTCATCTTTTATAAAGATAAGGGCATTAGAAAGACTTGCTGCAATCACAGTTGCTCTCTTCATAGAGGATCAAGTTCTGCCTTACAGGCTATCTAACATTAGGATATTCTGCACGGTAGGTGAAGATAAGGGAGGTCTGGTATTTCCATTATTTGACAAGTTCTCCTACAAATGCTAGGCAGCTTCACGTGTTTACCAGTAAGTCATTGGAATTCGTTGTGTCACAAACTATGGGAGCTGCTGATTTGGCATGCTGCACAGAAGGTCAAGCTCTTTGGTTTTCATTTGCTTTCTCCCTCCTTTACTGAGTAACACCTGGATGCTTTACAGGAAGCAATAATATTCAGGTTAAGAAACTTCACACATCCAAAACCTAACCTGTAGCTCCCCTTTTAATATATTTGCAAAATACGTATTCTATATTATGGTTTTGCCCAAGAGAAGTGTTTTAATTATCACTTCTCTAAAACAAACAACACACACACATTGGAACAAAATCCAACCAACCACAAATGCAAGCTGCCTAGAACCCTGGAAACAGACCTGCACTGACATCCCTGGGTGTGCAAAGAAAGGAAAATAGATTTGACTTGTTGTAGAAGGATATCTTCCATTTTATGCCTGTACATTGTGAAGAAGCATATATCGAACACCCGAAAAATCCTACAAAAATGTTTAGATATTACGTTTTTACACAAGCACAAATGAGTTACAGTACTTTCAGAAGAGGTCAAAATGTATGTGAGACCACTGAAGGAGACCCACACTTTATCAAACTCAGTTTGCAGAGGCAATAACTCTCTGCCTTTAGACCTAAATGCATCCACTCTAACGGTGTAAAAAGGGAATAATAATATAAGAGATGGTCAGAGGCACATCAATGGATTTACTTTAAGGAGTTGGACTTGTAAGGCAAATTTTGTAATTATTTCACAATCTACTAAATGCTCAAATCTGTCACTGCAGCAAAATCCCAACAAGCCCTTCATAGCTGCGAACAGGCTCCTGTTTTTTTTCTCCTCACTATAGGACAAGCTTTTTGCAAAAACTGAATGCAAGACCCCTGAGGAGCATACGGGAACAGAACCACCAAATGTCTGGTTGCCATCTGTTCTACCCATTTACTCTCCCAATATGTAAATAAACGTCAGTGAGCACAGGGACCAGTGAAACACACAGTTGCTCTGTAAAGCCCACATTTCTGCCTCTCCTCCTGATGAGCAGAGCAGCGGCCTCAGAAGCATGCTGAGAATACACCATGAAAGGCTCTTTTGGGACTTGACAGCCTCCCCCTTGAAACACCACCACCCTCATAAATAAAGCCCTCACTGTCTAATGGATGCACTTTTTTCCAGTGTACAACTCCTGAACGAATAAACTAATGGCTGAATGAAAAAATAAACTATCCTAGAACCCTAGCAGAAGTGTGTGTTTTTCTTTACTTTCTTTCTTCTACGCCCACCCTGAAAAAATAAATGGTGGAGCTTGTGGGTTTTTTTAAGTATCAACTTCTATCCATACCATATAACTACGGTGCACCTTCCCAGCACACTGCTGATACAAAGAGGTATGTGCTCACCGCATGCTCTCCTGTGCTAACAAAGGGGGATGTGAACATACTTGACTTCATGAATTATGCAAACACCTAAGTACACACACATACACACATCTCTTAATGAAATACATCTCACAGTGATTACATCAACCCTAAACTATTATACAAACAGACGATAAGAATCAACATGAGCTGATTAAAAAAAGCAGCAAGTCCACACCCCAAGCAGAACCACTGCAAAGGAAGAATAACGCACGCACAGATCTTTACTAACAGCGCTCTCACCGCTCGTTACAACCTGGGGGGAGGACAAAGCAGTGCTCTTAAATCAAGAAGGACCATCCGACGGATGGGGCATGAAAGCAATGCTTGAAATTTCTGTCATTTTTCAGATCTGCCAATGTTGATAGGTAACCTCTTGATTACTACTGATTTATTCAGGTTTGTACTTTATGCACTCAAGGTCGGAATTCAGACTCGGCATCCAATCAATGGAGAGAAACGAGCTCCTACAGGGGTCATTCCATCCCACCCACGACGTGAGCTGTGAGGAGGTGCTTTACCACCCACCCCTGGTGCCCCTGGTAGGAGCCATGAGCCCAGCTCAGCCCACACTGCACACTCTGCTCAGGCAGTAAGCAACCCGGAGCTCAGCCCTGCCTTCCTAACACTGGGTAACAGCACAGCACTGCCAGGAGTGCCCCAGAATGTGAGGTGAGATATCTTACATACTCGGCCTAACATAAAACATCAAGAGAGTCACATAAAACAGAGCAAAGCTGCGCAGAGAAAGAACTCGGAGCCAGCGTGTCAACAATTATACAAAGCCCAGCACAATATGGAACATCGACACAAAAACAAAGCCAAAAGGCAGAATGTTTCAAGAGCTCAGTTCAAGATGACCGATTTAAAAATAGAAAACATGCTTTCAATGGAGCTAATTCATACCACAGATCAAAAGATGGATGCAATTATATGCTGTAATATAAAGCACAAATAAAAAGCCTTGGACTTTCTCACACCCTGCATACAAAGGCAGCATGAAAAACGTTTATATTCAGTTATGATTGCTGGACCCCTTCTGTTCGAACAGGAGATATCAGGGTTACCACAGCTAGCTGGCAGCAAATGCTGACTTTTTAATGGTATCCACTATGCCTTTTCTGTCAAGTATAGACAAGGGCAGGACCTTGTAGCCTCAACTGCTGAGGCCTCAAAAACTGCAGACTAGAAAAATGAGGAAACATGTGTTGCAAGGAAATCTCTAATTTGAACAAAATCAGCCTCAAGAAAAAGAGGAAAACAAATGTCAGATTGCATTATAAACAGAAAAGAAGCAAAGTATCCACAAAGCAGTGGAACCACATTCTAACAGAACCAAACACAGACAAAGCACTGAAGTCAAACGCTAGCAGCTTCCAAGTGCACAGTATTATATGTCTAAGTTTTGATAGGAGAAGAAGAAAATAAAGAGATTAGATAGACTTTGTGCCTGCGCTCAGCCTAAGTTAACACACACACTGAGAACTCTGCATCATTTCCTGTGGTGTTCACCATACAGCAGGCGGGAGAGGAACGAGTTATAATTACTGCTGGAATTGAGACTGAGAATTCTAAACACAATAGCCTGGAACTTCACCCATATGTTGCATTAACAGTGGGGTTTGTGTGTAATGCTTTTATTATTCTAAAGACTGGAAAGGGAAAGAACAGTTTGGCTGTGGGCAAACATTTTGATTGCTTGTTAGCACGCTCCCAGGCAAAGCCAGGGGTACCTCGGAGCAATTGCATTACTCACCGCTCTTCAGATCACAAAACGTACATCCAAGGCTTTAGAGAATCCCTTTTTATCTCAGCCTCCATTAAGAGTCCTCCAATTTCCACACCTGTGACCTCTTTGAAGCTCTATGGCTGCTCCTGTAACTGGAGCAGGGAACCTCTTTTCTTTTTTTTTTTTTTATTTGGATGTCTGTAGGATCTTGTTAACCACCAACAGAAATGACCGCCTTTGGCTGGGAATTCCCGCTCTGCTTTTGTAATGCCCTTGATAGCAAGATTCAGAAGAAAAGCATGATTTAGTGCTTTCTCAACAGCCATGAAGCGTTTCCCTTCAGCACACACACCCTACAACAGCAAGCTTGCTGCAGACTAGCACCTTCCTAACTCCTGCTAAAGACATGGCACAGGGGGAGCACAGCATCCTTCAGTCTGAAATCCAGCAGTAATCCTCAGAAAAAGAAGGAATAAAGCTTTTTTTTTTCTTTGAAAGATGGTGGTAAGGTGGAAGAGGCTTTAAAGAGGAAAAAAAAAAACCAAAAACCTAACACAAACAAAAACAAGCTACACCAAAACCAAAAATAAACATAAAATAAAAACCAATTTGAGAGCCAAGGGAGTCTCTTCTTGTTTCTTGGATGGCCCTGAATTCATCAGGTGAGGATATCTTAAGGCAATGTGAATGCCTTCACACACACAACCTGTCAGCATCACTGTTTATCTTCTCAAAGAAAGCTGGAAGAAAGATGCCAGGAGCTGGGGAGGAGACTTAACCCCAGTCCTATCA